CAAGAAGGTTAGTTATTGTTTTGTTGTTTTTAGATTATTGTTGTTGTTTTTTTTTTTTTAGTAGAAGCTTAGAACTAGGAATGCTTATAAGGTTTTAGGTTGATGTTGGGTTTAGTTGGTGATTCTTGTTGTTGTATACGTGATATTAAACGTTCAATTTAGTAAAATACTTGAATTTGGCCTTAACTTTTGAATTTGTAGGGGGTTTAATAAATTTTGGTGTTGATTATGCCTTGTTTGTGGTATCTGTTATAATAATTTATTTGATTATGCCTTGTTTGGGTATTTTTGGTAATAATTTGTTCACAAATGTACTTTAATTTATGTAATCAACAGATATAAATGGCGTTTAACGGTCCATATTTCATTAATGTCTATTGGTCGAGCAAATTTGTTGTGAAGAATGGGATTGTGAATACTTTTAACAACTTGCCGGACGATTCCATTGTGATTGATCATAAGGTATCATACTATGATTTGGTTGGCTTGATTTGTGAAAGAGCTAGGTGGAATAGAGGGTATGTGAATTCGAGTCTCTCAATTTTGTATGATACGATGGGCAATGGTTTTAGGCGTATTGCCAAAATCAAGGACAACGCATCGTTGCAAGTCTTGTATTTCCTTCCAAATTCGACATATATTGATTTGTATGTGGATTTAGAGGTGGCGGGTAGTTCTAGGTCTCATTTGGAAGCGGGAACAAGTAGTGGTGGGCCGAATATGGAGGATGCCGATCACACGGAAGATGATCACGTGGAAGATGATGAATTGGATGATAAAGACTACATATCGATAAGTGAACAAAGCGATGAAGATCAATCAATATTCGAAGAGAATCGGGAGAGTGATGAAGAGTTTGAAGACAATTTCGCCAGAAATGACAGGCATATATATCGTTCACAGGGTAGATGGGATCATACAACAGTGAACAAGGATGAATTTCAGTTTACTATGTGAGATGGGACAACCGCAACAATCGGGAAAGAGACGTGTTTTAAGAACAAGATCGATGCAAAAGATGGTATAGAAGCGTGGAATATAGAGCAAAAAAGAGAGTATTATGTAAAGGAAAGTGACAGCGATACATGATATATTTGGTGCAAACCCCTAAAAGAGTCAACCCCTAGGGTTATGTTCCTTGTCATTGGAAGGTACGTGCCTCCTTGAAAGATCATGGTTTATGGGAGATTGTGATGGGTGTCCAAGCACAATTGTATGAATACCAATGCGGAAAACAATAATCGAAATATGAGTGCAACACTTATTGCTCATCTCATAAGGAATAAGGTTGAGTTGGACCTGGATTATGAAGTGAAGCTCGTTCAGGAAGAAGTGAAAGAACATATACATGTCGATGTTCCTTATCACAGGGCGTGGGAGGGAAGTAGAAAAGCTATCAATCTTATTTACGGTGACTGGGTTTTCAATTTTGACGTACTTCCAAGTTATTTCCTTAAATCCTATTTAATTTATTTGATTTGTTTATAATTTTCTTTGAAAATAAGCATTAATTTATTTTTTTAAATTTAAGTTTTTCGCCGTCCTTGAGAAGAGCAACCTCGGCACAGTTGTAGAGTGAGAATGGAAACCGGGTTAGACCAATACAGAAAGGACGTTCAAATACATTTTTTGGGCATTTAAGCCTGCAATTGGTTGTTTTGCTAAATGTCCTCCGGTGATTAGTATCGACGGGACGCACTTGCATGGCGGATACAAAGAGAAGTCACTCGCTGCAATGGTCAAAACTGCGAATAAGCACATCTTGCCAATTGCATCTGCGATCGTGGATGAGGAGAGTGAGAGAAGTTGGACATTCTTCTTGAAGCATTTGAGGAATCATGTTATAAACAACCGTCTTGTGTGTGTTATTTCCGACCGACACAAGGGTATCATCAGTGCAATAAGCCTAATGCTCGAATGAAATGCATATCACCGGTTTTGACTTTGTCACGTCCGGAGTAACTTGGTGGCTCGATTTTGAAGTAGAAAGATCAAGAGGTTGTGTTGGGACATGGGCTCAAAACTTTCAAAGACTAAATTCAAAGAACAAAGGCAAGAGCTACGTGACTTTGATAATGAAGCATATTTATATCTCGAGGAGATTGATGCTTGCCAGTGGACACTTGCAAAAGACAAACACTATCATTGGGGGTAACCAGACAACTAACATTTCAGAGAGTTACAACAACATCCTCAAGGGTGTTCGTTTCTTGCCCGATCTGAGCTTTGGTGGAAGCCACGTTTTTTAAGACTGTTGATTTGTTTCAGGAAGAATATGTAGCGTCAAGGAAATACGTTACACCCCTCCCAACCGACTTATGGGAAGACTTCTTGAAAAAAGAGAACAAAGCCGCATAACACAAAGTCAAGCGTTACGCTGCGGTTAATGGGAAGTTCAAGGTGAAAAGTAAAAGCCGACTTGGTAATAAAGGTGGCAATGAATACACTGTGAAATATGAAGAGAAGAAGTGTTCGTGCAAGAAGTGGCAGGAGTATAGGATGCCTTGTTTACATGCACTAGCCGTATGTTGGAAGATAAAAGATCAACCAATCAATACAGTGGATCCACATTTCAGGGTTGTTGCTTGACAAAACCAATCCAGTGGGCACAATGACTTTAGTCCGGTCCCTGATAAGAAAAAATGGCCTAAGATTGGATAGAGACTCGTTCCTAACAACGAGCGAGTCATGTTGGGCCCGGTCGTTAGCAAGAAAAGAGATTTAAAATGCAAATGGATTATAGGAGACGCAAATCGAGGGGTGAATGTTTGAGATGTGGCTCATGGAATCATTTCACATCTGCATGTCCCAAATCACACAAAAAAATCCGATAGGACAAGACTCAAGATTAATTGGGATTGTTTGTTTAAAGGAAGTTCGGATTTTGTAATTAATTTTGATTAATGTAATTAATTTTTCGTATTAAAGGAAGTTCAAATTTTGTAAATCCAACTTAGGTTAAAATTGGATTTCAGGAATCCGATCCCGGTATTTTTCTCTTCTCCAAAATTCGACCTATATTTCTCTCTACTCTTATTTTTAGGGTGTTTTTTTTATCAAAAACTCCCCGATTTAGATCTGAATTAGTCAAAGTAATTAGTCCGACATAAGATGTTATGGACATTCTCTTGCTATTTCAGTTATGAGGGAAAAAATAAAAACGTGCATTTCAGTGTAGTAACAAAATTTGAAGACATTATATATACTTTCTGCCCCAAGTATTATTGACCATTTTCTAAAAAAATATCACTACTTAATGTGTGTAGTGATTCAACGTTTTCTTCCCTTATATTCTTTCTTTGATACTAAAACAGAGGATAATACTTCACTTAATACTATTTTTCTTTTGTGTAAAGTCAGAATTTGTGACTCGTTACCGTCTTTGGAATTGAAAAACTAAATAGAGACCAAAGCTGCAATATTTTCCCAAAACGAAATATATTGCAAGGTGAAGACGCAATCCCACAAGTTCGATCTCTATCTAACTTATGGGAATGGGTAACCTATCCTCCCTCCCTCCATCAGAATAAATTGTTCTTAATGCAATATAGTGATGCTTTCAAAAAAAAAAAAATTTAAAAAATTGTTCTTACAGAACTGCCAAATCGAGACAAAAAAAAAAGTTTCAAGGCACGGATCCCTAAAGCAGAAAGGTCAAGCTGTCAAACCGAGTACGAAAACCATGAAAAATGAAAATGGCATATCTGAAATGACCTCCTCCCTCACACACGGTTCATTTTGGCCCTTATTATAGAAGTCTTTTTTTGGGAGTGTCACCATCCCCACAAAATATCACCCCAGGCACCCCAAACAGGTGTACTCTTTACAGCTTAATTAAGCAGTAAAGTCAAAAGGGAATGGTCTAATAAAAAGTTACATCCAATTGCGAGGTCGGGGGTTCAATGTGTATTAAAAAAAATAAAATACGCAACAAAAATATTTTGCTTTTCCATTTAGTTTTATTTTGTTTAACATTAAGGGAAGTTTTTGTTTAATTTTTTTTTTTAAAAAGAAAATGTAACCGCCTGAGTGCGTTGTTTTTTAACTCCGCTACGACAGATTCTACTTGACTTTCATCTATTTTTATTTTTTAAGGAAAGAAAGTTTACTATGATAAAAAGATAGAAAACGTTTTAAATGGTTTTAAACACATAGAAAAATTTACATGGTAAATGTGAGACCAAAGGTAGTTGCAAAATGTTGGTAAAACCTCACTTTTGAGTTTTGAGAGACAAATTAAGTTACGACGCGGATCATACTCATTGTAGGAAAGTTCCTTGGCAAGATGTAACGATTGGGAGAAAGGGACGGTTCAAGACGAATTCAATATCAATTTCTTCTACAATTTTATAAAGAAGTGTAGCAAATCAAAGAAGAAAGAAAGGTATTTTTTTTTTATAACGCAGGGAATCCCAAACCCACGCCTACTGCAATAGCCTACAAATTACAGTGAGAGACAAACCATCTTAGACAAGCACGAGATGACAAGTTCGGGTGTGAAATTGGGAGTTCATTGATGGGTTAGCCATAACAAGCACCTAGAGATACCGATAGGTAAGGTGAGAGCCAATCCTCGCTTTTTGTTAGAATGGAAGATTGAACTGATGACCTTCTCTTGGAACAAGGGTGGTTTTACTACTGAACCAACTCCTCATTCACGAAAGAAAGAAACGTGTTTTATTTCACTTTTTAAACTTTCTCTTATATTATACCTTAAATTTCCTCCCAATTACGAGTTTTAGGTAATTTCCTAATTCATCTTGTTAAATTTAGATAGTTTCCTTAAATTCCAATACCCAAACTGATTATTGTTATCTCCATAAATACAAGGGATAACTTTAAGGTAATTCTACCTATTAAGATATTTTCCTTTTTCCTGTAAGACGCAAACTTCGTTCTGTGTTAGGCTCATATAAAAGTGCATATATTTTAGTGCCTAAGAAGATTTTTTTTGCACAGAAGCAACGTTGGCGGTTTTCACACACATTCTCACTTTCTTCAAAAAAAAAAAAAAACACACACACACACACATTCACACAGTAATTTTTTAATAATACTGTTTTTAATAGTAATATCTAGCTGGTGTATATATATAATTGACAGGTATCATTAAAAGGAGAATTGTGGGCTGAGATTTGGTTTGGCTGGCAATTTAGCTAATGGCCACCCTCAGGTCCCCTGCTTTCTTCTTCAGGCCTCTTCTTCTGCTCCTCTACTTCTCAGGTTTTTTTTCCCTTCCTTCCTTTTTCGCCTTCATTTTATCTTGTTCATGGAGTTTCTTTAAATGGGTTATTTTTGTTTTAACTTGTTTCTTACATCAGAAGTTGGTTAGGAAGATAGAAGGAACAAAGAATTTCAAGAATGTTTTTTTTTTTTTATTGGTTTCTGGGATTAGAAATTCAGCAATTTTTCTTGCTAGTTTGCGAATAATGAAGATGATTTCAGTTTTTGGGTAGTGGGATCTTATTGTTTTCCTCTGTTTCTTTCGGTAGTTTTTGGGTTGGTGGAGTAGTTAGCAGTTCATAGATTCAAGATTTAATTTCCTCTTTGAGCAACTAAGCATGAAGTCTGAGTTTTCATCGGTTTCCAGGAATTCTAGGCTATGAGATATGTCATTCTTGTTCTAAAGTTGAGTTCTTTAACCCAGAAGATTGCATGAATGTTCTGAAAGTTTTATTCTTTTATTTGAAAGGTCTACAATCTTTATCTTTATGCGGTTCCATTATAGAAATTGTAAGTGTAGTACTTTTAGCCTCTTCTACAAAATCAAGGTTAATTTTTTTGTTTTTAATTTGTATCGAAGTTATTGGGAATGATTATTATATTCCAGTAATTCAGTCGTGTCAACAACAAGTTCACCATCTTGATTTCTTTTATTTAGGTTTATTTGTTCGCAGCCAAAGCATAGGAGTTGGTATCAATTATGGCCAAATTGCTAACAATCTTCCCACACCATCCCGGGTGGCTGTTCTCCTTCAATCTCTTAATGTTAGCAGAGTGAAATTATATGATGCTGATCCAAATGTATTGAGGGCTTTCGCGAATTCTAATGTCGAATTCGTCATTGAGTTGGGGAATGAGTATCTTCAGACCATGACTGATCCTGTTCAAGCTCAAATTTGGATCCAGCAGCATGTTCAACCATACATATCTCAGACCAAGATCACCTGTATCACTGTTGGAAATGAGGTCCTAACTGGGAATGATACCCAATTGAAATCTTACCTCCTTCCTGCAATGCAATCGGTCAATAATGCTCTCAACAGTCTTGGTATGAATAAAGCTGTTTATGTTTCTACAGCTCATTCAACTGGTATATTAGGCAATTCCTTCCCGCCTTCTTCAGGGCAGTTCAGACCAGATCTTGCTGAGTACATCCAGTCCATACTGAATTTCCACTCCCAGACAAATTCGCCGTTCCTCATCAATGCATATCCCTTCTTTGCTTACAAGGACAACCCTGACGAGATATCATTGGAATATGTACTCTTTCAACCGAATGCTGGTGTTCCTGATCCAGTTACAAAGTTGAACTATGATAACATGCTTTATGCACAAATTGATGCTGTGTATTCTGCTATCAAAGCAATGGGACACACAAATATTCAAGTTAAGATATCTGAGACCGGTTGGCCGTCAAAAGGAGACCCCAATGAGGTAGGAGCTACACCACAGAATGCTGCATTGTATAATGGCAATTTACTGCGTCGGATTTCTGAGAACCAAGGCACCCCGGCGAATCCATCAATACCAATTGATGTGTATGTTTTTGCACTTTTCAATGAGGATATGAAACCTGGTCCGGCATCAGAGAGGAACTATGGATTGTTTTATCCTGATGGCTCTCCAGTTTATGACATTGGGATGCAGAGTTATCTGCCACGCATCAATTATTCGTCGTCTGGGATAAAGAATACTGTAAGTCCAGCTACCATCACTTCTACATCGTTTCCATTTTCGACATTGGCCATTTGCATTGCTCATCTGATGTTATGTTTTATGATCTTTTCAGGTCTGCTCTATTATTTCTCTTCTGCTCATGTCAGCGGCATTTTTATTCTGCACTTAGATACTGGAAACTGGGAATTGTCCCATTTAGAGGCCCTGAATTTTGTCCCAGTTAAAAATAGGGTAAACTTAGATCAATTCTTTCACTTGCACCTGAAATTTTTTGGGTCATCCGGCAGAGTTTAGAAGTATAGTTTATTCATAACACTTAAATTTAGGTCTCCACTTTTCCACCATCTATACTTGTACATACAATGCCAATCCCAAAATTTTGAGTTTCTGATGAGTGGAAATATACTGATTCCTTAATTACATTCTTGTATTGTTAATTTCGCTTTGTTGTTGCACATTTTAGTTTTGTCATGTGCTACAAGCTTTTCCCGGCTTTGTAGTTTCCGGTCCTAGAACAGAGTTCTCTGTTTAAACTTTAAAGCCTCAATAAGGATGATAATTGCGTGAAATCGACTGTCAGTGTAAAACTTACTCCCTTCGTCCCAAAATTGTTGTCTCAAACTGGACAATAATTTTGGGACCGAGGAAGTATTACACAAGTGGATCACATAAGGAATGGCGTGTATAATAGTCGTAAATTTTGATTTTGAGAATGTGTTCACAATGAAACTTGTTCTGAACCTGTGATCTAGGTCTGCTAAAGCCATCATTGTTTAACTGAAGATTATGGTAATGTGTCTCCATCCTCCATTTTCACGTCCCATGATGCATAGTTTGAAAGGTTTAGAATTCTTATCATTTCGTTTCAACTCCACGTTTTTTCAATCTTTAAACCGCCAAAGCTGAAAGTTTCATCAGTTTTGTCTGAATTTGGCCAAGCCTCCATCCTGAAAATGACATTTTTTCTGCCTTTTGTTTTCTGTCTGCAGTCCTTCTCAGCAGTAATCAATCTTTCATGTCAGCTTCATCCTTTGCATCCACAGAATACTTTGTTTTTTTTTTTTCTTCCTTTTGAAATTCTTTTAAACACGATTGGTCTTTCACGAAGAAAATCCTTCTCTGCTGAGTAATCAGTTTCTGTCTTTCTGATTCATTCCACACAATTCTCCAGCGTTTTTAGCTGTTGAATTTGAATGGCCAAGCAAGAAATCACAAGATATGATAACCCTTTTGGATATTTGTTTCTTTTTGTGGTGGGCTCTCGTTGATAATTAAGTAGGAAAAGGTTTAGACTAAACCTACTACAACAATTATTACTGGATCTGTATTTAAAAAATTCTATCGTAACGTTTTATTTAGTTCAACAAGAACGATTATTTTTTGAGTAAGGAACTAATATTGATGAATTAGAAGTGATAGGTAAAGTGAAAATGTATAGTAAAATATGATCATGACTGATTTGACACGTATAAATTTAAGGAGATGGTGTTTTGTCTTCACAATCTAATTTTTTTTTTTAATTTATAAATTATCGCAGCTTCTATCATTGCTCAAATAAATAAACAAAAGTGTTTTGTGGGCTATAAGGAATATTTTGATGCCTTTTTAAAGCCTGTAAAGGTGTAAATATCAATCACAACGATGCTTCGAGTCGCCAAAAAAAAAAAAAAAAATGTCATTTGTGTGGGACATCAGCATCAACATCATCAAGAAGGCATTTTCAACTTTAAGCCTTACATCATCATCTAGAATAAAAATAAATAAGTATTAAGAAAGAGATAAGAATTGGCAGATATGGACCGACTTAATATCAAACATTAATAAATTGAACTGGCTTGAATGACACAGCTAGCTACCTATATATGTTGCCATTCCCACTTGGCTTTATTATTATACAACCTGGATGAGTTCATATTTGTTGACGCTTTTGGAAGAGAAAAATATAAAATGGCCATTATTCGTCAAGAAAATTCTAATGGCTGCTAAAGAAGTGAGTTGGGCTATCTAAAAACAGATAAAATACAAGTTGACAATGTGTTTAATTAAATTGGTATGATGACATATTTTGGGGGTGGTGTTGTATAATAGTTGTGCATGTTTGGGTGTAATGGAGAAACAAGTGCTTGTGTATGGTGGAGTTTGATTGCATTTCTGGGGTAGCCTTTAGTTTATACGATGGAGACATAAAGTAAGTTTTTAGTCAAAAAAGAGATCCTTTCTTCGCAATTGTTTATTACTTCGTCTCTCTTGAGAAAAGAATCAATCAATCATCAGTATATACATATATATTATATTATTTTTACAGAAACCAATGAGGGAAAAAAGGATTGACGTGTCACTCTGAAATTATTTGTTTAGTTTTTTTAATGATTTTTTAGATTAATAAAATAATACTGTTCTATTTCAACATGTCTTTTACATTTTCAATACACTTTTTTACATTCTCAATGCAAAAAACACCTAAAAACACGTACTAAAAAACAAAACAAACATATTATTGTTTTACCGCCCAAATGATGTTTATTAAGGACTCCAAAAACTAACTACCTCCACGTGAAAATTTTACCCACGATCAAACTCCTTTGTCGTTTCCTAAATAAAAGGAAATTAATTAACTGCCATTACAATACAACAACTATAAAGAGAGAATAACTTCCACCGGGAGAAGTCACTGCAAGACAACACAATGGAGGAGACAAGAGAATCTTGAAAAGTAGGGTTTCTAAAACTTATCATGAATTAGTTTAAAAACTTATTTCATCCTACATTAGACTTTATATTCTGATTTTTGTGGCAATCATATGCTCAGTTAGTTATTCTATCCGTTGCTTATGGTGGTAGAAACAATCATGAACTCGAGAGCCATTCATTGTAGTTGGAAGTTTTCCTTTCTAAAATTTGTGTTTCTCTAAAGAATTTGCATTGTTTATCGTGGATATTGTCAATGAGTAAATATCTTTGGATAGAAATAACGAATTGAATATGTGATAAACTATGTCGAAAGGTACAATTAATTTCTATCCATGAAGACTCTTTTATGTGACTAGCTAATATCTTATTTATTTAATTTCCATATGAAAATATATTTACTTTTGTAGTTCAGTTGATTTCAATTTTTTTTTTTTGTTGTCAGAGTGGAGCCATGAAGACTCTCTTATGTGACTAGCTAATATCTTATTTATTTAATTCCCATATGAAAATATATTTATTCTTGTAGTTCAATTGATTTCATTTTTTTTTTATCAGAGTAGAGTTTCTTTGTTGGTCCTACATATGGTACAATTTTGTTGTGCTGGTCCTAAATGTACATCAATATTCTTATTTTGAACTCAATATTAGTACTTTTAAGTTAGATTGTGTGTGGGGGAAAAAAAACATACAAATGGGATGAACTTATAAAGCTAAAACATCATGCATTCTCATACATGAGTTCACATATATAACGAGCCGAGACTTAAAGAGGTTGAATTGTGCAAGGGTACTTTTTAAACTATAGTTTGGAACCAGGAAATTTGAGGACTATAGTTTTGATGCAACTACTAACATTTACTAAATAATTGTGATTTTTCTAAAGGCATACTATGTAATTTAGTTATACTTTAAAAAAAAAAGAGAGAAAATAAACAATAAGCTAATTATAATTAAAATATAAATTTGTTCATATTTGTTGTGAAATATTAAAGAAACAATATATATAGCTGAATTCCAATAAAAACATATGTAAGTATTATGTTGAGTCCATTTTCTATCTATTTTTTTTCTTAAAGGTTTTAATTTTTTGAAATGAATGTAATTTTCTCTTTCAACACTTATCTCTTAAACATTTTTCTCTTTGTTAATCTTTATTTATATCTTTATTTTTCAATTTTACCATCACAATATATTTTTATATACCACAATATATATCCATTTAAGATAAGATCATTGATTTACCCCGTGCAACGCACGGGATTAATCTAGTTATATTTATTGCATTGAAATGTAATTTAACAAACAAATTTTTATTTGAAGACCGAATTGTTAAAAAAGTAATGATATATACAGGGAAAGATTACAAGGAAAAGTTACAAGAAATAATTTGTCAATCATCTAAACTATGCCACAACCTAAAATGCTTAAACCCTAAACGAATGTGATAAAAATGAATGATTATAATCAATTTCTTATCATTTTTTTCCCTTGTATATATGAATATTCTTATTCAAATCAGTAATAGCATAGTAGAGCGTTGGGGTGATAAAATAACCTATTTTTATTCATCACTCTCTCAATCTCACACGGGGAGAATGAGTCTTTTTATGCCAAGGTTTAAGCCACACCATCCAATATATTCCAAAATTTAAGAGCATGTCATTTACATCACAAATTTTTCAAAAATATAATATTAGGATATTTGTTAAATTTTTTAGTTACTTAACATCGACATTTCATTTAGTTTCTTTTTCCCAAATTTTTTGCAGTAAAAAAAATTTAATGCTAACACTTGATAAATTTGGTCCATACCAAGCAAAGAAGTTGCATGTCCCATCAAATTACAACACCAAATTTTATATTGATGCTATATATTTTATTTTATTGTTTTTTAAAAAAGAAAATCTTAAACACGAATTACTTACCAATTAGGACACCCTAAAACCTTTCATGATTGTTGTCAATTTAAATGGTGAATCTTGGAATTTCTTCTTTTTTTTCCTAACCAAGGAAGAATGGAAGATGTGAAGATCAAATTAAGTTTAGCTATTTTCTTATAAGTTAGGAATTAGAGGAACCCATTAAATGATTAAAAAGAATTGCGGGAGGGGAAAGGAAATAAGTTACTACCGTTAATTAATTAACTAAAAAATTTAAGGAATGCCAAAATATAGTATGTTTTTAAAAAGTTTAGGATGTAAATGACACGCTCTTAAATTTCGGAATGTTTTAGATGATGCGGTTCAAACTTTGGGATGAAAAGATTCATTTTTCCATCTCGCATACAAGACCCTTCGTATAAATCTATTTATTTCATTGAAAAATTTATCATCCCTAGAGTAACACTTATTTTTTCATGGAGATATTTTAATAGTATCAGCGTTATAAATCATTGTAAACTACCATCAAAAGCGTACATGATTCTTTTATTATCAAATCATTCTGAATTTGTCTATTTTTTTTCTATGAAAAGCACACTTGCAGTAGGTAGAAATACTTAGGTCTCGATAATATCTTGTTTGTTTAGCGCACATTAAAAGAGTAATAATGTGTTTCGTATAGGAACCATCGAATGTACTGCGTTTTAGTCAAACATTTAATCAGAACTTAATTCTACTTAATAGATCTCAAAGTTAAAATCCGCAAGAACAACCGCTAGCAAAGACAACTAAACAACTAGCTAAGAGAGCAATTTTTTTGTTGACTAAACAATGTATATTCTGACGCTCTATATTAACATTTAGGTGAAATTGTTCTTTATATCTTTGTTTATAACTGTCCTGTGGCACAATTGTAATAATTTGATCATATTTGAATTCAAGTCAATTTTAACGATGAAGTGATGACAGAATATATGAGGTGTAAATCAGTCACTATTTTCTAAATCATTTTGAAATTAAATAGAGGGCGTAAATAATCTAACTACATGTAGGAATAATCCTCAAAAAAAGGAAAAAAAAGAAGAAGAAAATGTAGTATTAAAAAAATTACTTAAAAACAAAAGAAAAAGAAAACAAGACTGACAAAGTCAGAAGCTGAAAAAGTTGAAACACAGTGAAAATGAGGAAAAGATGAGACACGAATTTGGAAATGAGCAGGCACACGTGGTTATCGGATCAGCCGTCACGCGATCCGACTCGATATCCGTGTCCGTCAAAGAAAAAGAGTCGGTCGGGTCGGTCGGCGGTCGGCATCAACAGAGTAATGTAGGGATCGATCGGGCAGTGGTGGTCCAAGCAGGTGATGTTAGTAGTGTGCGCCTTTCAGTCGGTGCGTGTGACATGTCGTACTGGATTATTTTCTTTCTATTATCATCTTAGGCACCTAGTTAGTCACTAACTAATAAGTAATTTTGTGTATTTTGTGTTCAATTATTTTCCATTTTTTTTGACCTTACACATCTAGTGCTAACAAAAATTTTAGTACTACCTTTTTATCCCAAAAATAATTATAGTGTTTAAATTTAATACCACGAGATAAGATACTTGTTTATAGATAAAAAAAATTTTATTTTTTGTTAGTGTATGCCTTCGTTTATCCTTCTTCAAAATCAAATAATGCGTAAATATTGAAATTCATCAACTTGCTGTTCGATTCAAACCCTTCAAATTGTAAGCTTACTCGTTATGTCTTGATTGTTCGATTTATATTTTTATTTTTAATGTAATATAAGACAGTCATTTTGAGATAAAGTGATTTTTTTTATTTATTCTTCTTTGAAAAAAAAAAAACTAACGTTAAAAGTTTGAGTTC